GGGGGAAACGGGGATAAAATGGGATAAAATGGGATAAAACGGGATAAAACGGGGATAAAATGGTTAAAGGCTGCGCGGAGCGGGGGGATGCCGGCGCGCAGCATCCACAGGAATGAAAGCAGGGACGTCCAGGTTGGGAAATGCAAGGCGGCGTTGAGATTCTCTGCCTGGATAAAATGCCTGTTCCGGTCGGGTTTTTATATGAAAATGTGGATTGTTCCCCCCCATTCCCTTTTTTTTTTTAATAATGATTGCTCGCACGCTCTGTTGTTGGCATTGTGGCGTTGAGGGCAGCGAAGTCCATCGCTATATTGTGGGGGAATAATGCCAAAAAGGAGCTCGGTTCCAGTCCTTTATAGAAAGCAGGGGAGCCTGCAAGTATGGAAATGAAATAAATATTCATTAGCAGAAAGAGGTTTGCACCGGGTTGGGTTTTTGGGGGCGTTTTTGCCCCCTCACTGCACATGGTGATGGGATTTTGGGTTATGGTTTGTGTTTCCATAGGCTGAATTTTATTTATTTGGTGCTCACTATTGTCAAGTGCAGAAAAATGAGCAGGTTGAGGGTATTTTTTCCCCCCTCTCCTGGACAAAGACATGTTGTGCTAAGCAGAAAGAAACCCCAGAAAGATTCTATTTCTGTTTTAATCAGAATATGATTTAAGATGCAGTGGTGTGTTTATTTTTGCTGCTAAATAGTGATGGAGGAAGTCAGAGCCTTTTTTTTTGTGTGTGTGTGTTTTTTTTTAAAGGAATGTGAATGATGGAAACATCTTTAGGGAAACATTTTGCTGGACTTGATTGCATCAACTGCATTATTTCATAAAATGTGAGCTGTGAAGTGGTTGTTGATTAGAACTCAAATTGAGGAGCGATGTTGAGCAATGTAAAGAAAAAGGAAATTAGTATGAAGAGGCCAAATGCTTATTTTATTTTTTTTTTCTCCAGTTCTTTCTGATTCTGAATCTTAACTATTTCGTGGATTCTCCTGACCCTTATGGTTGAGTCTGTTTGAAAAAAAACAACACAAACAACAATTATGATGCGTATATTTATTCTTGTTATACATACATAGTTATTAAAAGGACTGATATCAGCCAGCATTGTGTATTTTGCATTAAATTTGTGTTAAATCTGATTAACTTTTGTTCTGTAAGTTGCAAATACCAACTTACCCTGCTGTGCATCCCAACTTTTTATTTACCAAAGCAAATGTTGACGGTTTTTAGAAGGATTTTTTCCATCCCAAACCCTGTGCTTTACTTTAGGGAAGGTGGGATAATTGTTGCAGATGTTATTGTCCAGTTCTAGGGGGTTTGGGGTATATTCTTCAGCTGATTAAAATTGCTGGCTGTCACAAAGGGAGTACACTCTCAGGTATATTAGGACAGGTGGATATATATCCTCTGGAACAAAGGGACTGGGAGCAAAATGTGTTTGGAGTTTGAGGAAGTAATCTCCTTGAGTAAGGAATGCAACAGCTGAATTGCAGAAAAATGGACATGGAATAACGTGGATACAGTGATTTAGGGAGAGATCTGTGGAGCTGCTCTCTGCCACCTGTCAA